CTTCACGAATTCCCTCCTCTCGGTTGAGAGGTGTCTTCTTTTCTGCTGGATGGGCTTCGCCGTTGGATTGACCGCCAGCCGATGGACAGCGATGCTTCGGTCAAGTCCAGGCATGTCCTCCGGTCCCCACGCGAAGACAACGCTAAAAAGGACAAGTACCTGGATAATCTTCTCCCTCAAGCCGGCCGGGAGCCCGGTCCCGATCTTGACCTTCCGCTCCGGCCTCTCAGGGTCAATCTGGATCTCCTCCACGTCTGAGGTGGGTTCAGCGCGGAGCTGACCCTCCTCATACTTCATGGCTTTGCTGTTGATAGTGTGGATCCTCAAGTCTTTTTGACCGATTTGTTTGCAAGCTTTCAGATAGCAGCTCCTCGCCATTCGCTGATCTCCCCTGGCGACTTCAACGCCATTCGGAGTGGGAAACTTCATGCATAGGTGCTCCTGGGATATCACACATCTGAGGTCTTCCGGGGCCGGCCTTCCCATGATGATCTTATGCGCACAAGTTAGGCGTACGACGATAAACTCGACGTCTAACTTGGATACGCAGAGCTCGGAGCCCACCATCACGGGGAGGACTATGCTGTCCTCCGACTCAATGGAGTCCCCGGTGAAGCCCGAGAGGGGGGTTCTCACCGGGATCAAGTCTCAATGAAAGCACTAATGTTGGTCCAAAATAGGACGCTCGTAGGCTTTTAGGAAAGCTACGTACGACACTCAAGCAAGAATTAGGAAAGAACGAATATGGAAAGTTAGCCAGAAATAGCATATCTGTATTTGAAATTCGAATTGCCTTTTATAGGCGATTACAAATGGTAACTGCCGAACATAATAATGACTAAATTAATTACAACATTAATACGGAATTAAACACATAATTAAGTCGCGCATTGATTGTTGGCCGTGACTCTCCTGGCTGGCAGGTCAGCCTGGCTGGCAGGCTGGACGCTTGAGCTCCCCCCCTGCTGGACTGGACGGTGGGCTTCCCGCTAGGCTGGAGGAAGGCTTCTGACCGGGCTGGAGGCAGGCTCCCGGGTAGGCTGGAAGGCAGGCTCCCGGGTAGGCTGGAAGGCAGGCTCCCCGTTGGACTGGAGGCAGGCTCCCACCTGGGCTGGACCGCAGGCTCCCAGCTGGGCTGGACCGCAGGCTCCCAGCTGGGCTGGACCGCGGGCTCCCAGCTGGGCTGGTGGTCGACAGGCTCTTGGCTAGGCTGGAAGGCAGGCTCCCCACTGGGCTGGAAGGCAGACTCCCCACTGGGCTGGAAGGCAGGCTCCCGGGTAGGCTGGAAGGCAGACTGCTGACTGGGCTGGTAGGCAGACTGCTGACTGGGCTGGTAGGCAGGCTCCCTGCTGGGCTGGATGGCAGACTCCCCACTGGGCTGGAATGCAGGCTCCCGGGTAGGCTGGAAGGCAGGCTCCCGGGTAGGCTGGAAGGCAGGCTGCTGACTGGGCTGGTAGGCAGGCTCCCTGCTGGGCTGGATGGCAGGCCGCCCTGGGCTTTCACTCTTTGATGGGCCTGATCGGTTGGGTCGGAATGAGCTCTGGATCACTGGGCTTGGGCCTGCTGGTCCAAGTCCGGGGCCTGGGCCGATTAGGCTCTGGACCTAGTCCCATAACCCCATCATTCAATGTTATCATTGCTCCTTTTTTTCTGAATAACTCTGTTACCTGGTAGAATGATAGAACTATGTGTAAGCTTTTTCATTGCCAACAACCCTGCTTCTCACTCTTCTCTCTGATATCCTGATGTGTGCTCTCTTTAATTTGGCCAAACCATTTTTGCTTAGGTACCGGTTTATTGTATATTGTTAATATTTATGATTTTCCTTGATCATGTCTGACCCACTACTTTCAGAAATAATTGCCCCACTACTCTTTAATAACTTCTCATTAATACGTGTATACATGATATGTGATATATATCTTTAAAAATTTTAAATTTCGTTTTGCAGGCCCACGTCGTTTCTCTTTTCCAAATTATTGATGTAGACAAATTGTAATTTAATAGGTTATGGGACCTGTATATGGTGCCCGTTGTTGTAATATTTATAAGTAGTTAGTTTATAGGAGTGCAGGTTCCGAACTACAATAATTACAGGCTACCAAGGTATGTTTCTATCCACTTTATTTTATAATTTTTGTAATTTTTGTTTTTGTTTCAAGCTCTCTCCAATAATTACTTTTTGTTTGATAGAAATGCATACTTTTCGTAGAGCAATTATTACCCTTGTTTTTTTTCAAACGACCTTTTAAGGCCGTAAGATATTGTTTTATTTTTGTTTTTTTAAATGATGTAGTTCTGCCAGCTCCAAAAAAGCCCATAACCAAAATTACCGTTTTTTAAAATTTAGCTATGGAAACACTTCTATCGCACAAACCTTAAATTTAAACGTAACATAGTGTCAAGGGAAACATAAATTTAGGGAACTCAAATACCAATCTTAGTTGTCGACGCAATATTTACAATAGACGGAAATTAGGGAATTAAAAATTAAAAACAACATGCTGTGTTTGTAAACACATGCTTAGGAAAACCAAACACAAATCTAATTGCAGGGTCCAATGAAATCTAGACACAAACATCTGAGCTAATCTGTGGCACACACACCATCAGATTAACCTCAGGAAATCCTAGAAACTATGCTAAACCTTCTCGAGCTTCACACGAATTGCCTTGCGGGTTTTTGCCAAAACCTTGTTCCCTTCATCATCTTTAGCGGGCCTTTTACCTCTTGATACTTCTGACACATTAGTATCAACAATGTCGGTAGTCAGGTCAATAGGACCTACATCATTTGCTTCACTCTCCTTGTCGCTTCTGGTTTCAACATCAACCCCATTTTGCATATCCTATTTTGTTATATATATAAACATGTATATATAAACATAAAACACGAATGTTATTAAAATTATACATAATATAGATGGAGTCTTATGAAATTAAATCAAATTGTACCGTAGTTTGTGTTGGTGTGACCTTGGAGGTAGTAGCTTCATCACACTCCCCCATTTGTTTTGAACTTGCCTCACCTTCACTTTTAACCTTGACAACACTAAAAGCCTGTTCCCCTTTCCTTGAGTTGTCATTATTTACTTGTACCAAACAAACGACTCTCTTTTCCATCAAATTAAAAATCTCAATAGGGGTGTCACCGTCCTCATTGTTTTTCTGTGCCAATGTTAAACAGTTTTTTAAAAAAATTGAGTAATACCATTTCATCCACAAATTGTGAAGCCTTTTTGCCAAAGAGTTCATAGCATGCATCACTCATTCACCATAGCTGAAGGTTAAACAGTTTTTTTAAGAATTGAGTAATACCATATCATTCACAAATTGTCAAGCCTTTTTGCCAAAGAGTTCATAGCATGCATTACTCATTCACTATAGCTGAAGGTTAAACAGTTTTTTTTTAAAATTGATTAATACCATTTCATTCACAAATTGTCAAGCCTTTTTGCCAAAGAGTTCATAGCATGCATTACTCATTCAGTATAACTGAAGGTTAAACAGTTTTTTAAAAAATTGAGTAATACCATTTCATTCATAAATTGTCAAGCCTTTTTGCCAAAGAGTTCATAGCATGCATTACTCATTCACTTTAGCTGAAGGTTAAACAGTTTTTTTTAAAATTGAGTAATACCATTTCATTCACAAATTGTGAAGCCTTTTTGCCAAAGAGTTCATAGCTTGCATTATCCCACAGCAGAAGTGATGCGTTTCCAGTTTTGTCCATTACTCTAATCTTTACCTTGTACCTACGAATTTACCAATCTTAGTGACTTAGCAAATAACCTGAACTTATGAGAAATGTTACACATACCTCAAAGAGTGAGTACGTGCAATTAAGATATCAAACTACCTATTTAATAGCTTTAGATACCTGATGACAACATCTTCATTGTTTTTGCAATTTGGATTAAGACATCCAAATCTGCCGCATTTTGGTGCAACTTTTCTAGCACAATCTTTACAGGCTAAGTACCACCAGCCTTCTCCAACGTCAACGTCTATGATCTCTCCAGCTATCCAAAAACGTCCAACCTAATAACAACCTTTTTTGTTATACTTACAATTTAATTTTAAATAGGAATTTATGCTGTCAAAGTATAAGTACCAAGTCTTTCTCGAAAAGGGTGTCAATAGGAATGATATCATTGTTGTTTGTGTTCACTTCATCTGTTTCATATGAAGTGATCACAATTGGGGTTCTTGTGAAGCCGTCGTCTCCATGCACGTCAAATCTGTAGATTGTTAGGTTATCAATATACAATATCAGAATGTCAATATATAATTTATTTATTGACAAATGTCTTACTTGTCCTTGTAGTCATTGAGCTCTTTGTCTTTGCCATTGATTATCAATTTAGTAGCGAAAAAAGAATTTGAAACCGAAAACTCCCCTGAAAAGTTATAATTCTCATTGTCAAACCTTTTAAGAATAAAGTGATAAACTAACCAATACATTTTTAGAAAAGGGAAAATTATACCTTTGTACACTTTTGCTTTCACAAACAAAATTGCTGCCAGCATGAAATTTGGGTGTTTCTTAACTTGTTCTTTGATCACATCAACAAATGGACCCCACAATGTGCACTTTAGAGTTCGTTGTCTGTCACGTTAAATATGTATCAATATATAATACACTACTTGATGGATGTGATCAAAGCTGATTTTTTTTTGAAAAACATACCCAGGGTCTTCTAGGACTATTTCACACAACTTTTGGCATTCACCATTGAACTCCTGCGGTCTAGGGTAGTGAATTGACTTGATGCTACCTATGACATCTTTGGAGACAATTTGTAAGATCTTAAATTCTTCTGTAATATGTCTATGATAATATATCATATAATATATCAATAGTTATACAAATCACTAATAATTTGGGTATTACATAATCTAAAATATTATAATACTAAAAATTAAAAGTTGTAAGAATTATTATAAGATACTGAATTCTTATATTATTCGTTACCAAATAATTCGGATTGGTCAACATTATTTGCATATGCAAGCTTGACAAATGGTTTAAAGTTGAACAGGAAAGTAGGAAAGTTTCCGTCAATGATGTCAACTGCCATGGTCTTGTGGTTGAAGAGAATCTTGTACGCTAGTGTCGTTGTCTTGTACTTCATGTCATTAGGTGCCACAATGAAGTTCCTAACACTATACAATTGTCCTTCCTTGAGACTTTCTTTAAAATGCATAACTCTCTCACGACGTATTGTGGCATGCACTCTGTCCCCCTACAAAAAAAAGTGAGGTTAGGTTGAAGATAGCATAAAGGATTTAATCAAACAATAGAGTTCTTCTATAAAATTGTACCTCAGAATCATGGAAGATGCACTCTAAAGTATTTGTGATACTTTTGTTACTGAAAGATGGAGTAGTGTATGCTCGAATCAGCCTCAATCGTAAAGCCCAGTTTGTCCTGGACTTGTTAATCTCCAACACTTTGTCGTAAAGCATTTTTCTAACCGCACACAATATTAATTTATCTCTGCAAAAGAGTTTCCTGCCAAAGCTATTTTAATCGTAGGTTGGATCTTGAATATATACTGATAGCAGAGGCGGTTATTAGGAAGTGTGATTGGACGTGTGCTAAACGTGGAAGAAACTGCTCAAGTGTATTCAGTGGAGCCATCTGTATATTCTGGACGTGTGTTATTATTATAAAATTATAAAATTATAAAATTAATATGTGTAGTACATCTGTACTATAAATTGTGGAAGAAACTGCTCAAGTGTATTCAGTGGAGCCATCTGTATATTTTGTATTTGTGTTATTATTATAAATTATAAAATTAATTTGTGAAGTACAACTTTATTTATAAATTTATCATTTATTCCTTGCAGCTTGTTCCATTTACGTGCTGTGTTGCATATAATTTTGGCACGTGATCACTTATCCTTTACACAATGATCACTTACGAAGCAATTCACACAATGGAATCAGGCGGGAACAGTTATTCCCTAGTCGATTCCATTGTTAAATATATAAAGATTTAGTCATTAATGATTAACGTGAGTTTATACATATATTGCTCCGTCTAGTAGTGTGATCGCAATTGGGTGTATTTTAAAAAAATGAGTGTGGTTGTATTAAAAGAACGTATGGGTGTGTGTATTTTAATTTATTAAATATTAATGTATAAACATATTATTACGTATATAAAATAAATATTTTATTTAGTTATTTGTGTTGGTATGTATATTACGGAGTACATAGTACTCCGTATATAATACTCCCTCCGTCCCTATATAAAAGTATCCATTCATTTTACACACATCTTAAGAACGTGAGTTTGGTTGGTACTGTTTGGCACTGTTTCGACATTGTTTGACATTGTTTGGTACTGTTTTGCACTGTTTTGTTTGCCAAAAAAAGAAAAGAAACTTTTATTTAGGGACGACCCGAAAAGGAAACATATGCTTTTATTTAGGGACGGAGGGAGTAGTGAATTTGAGCGAGAGATTGAGTGAATTTAAATGACAATAATAAATCATAAAAATAGTAAATTTGAAGATTGTTGATAATTAGCCCTAACTAAATATGGCCCAATCTATTTGACTATTTCTCTTTAAAGCTATGCTTTGAATCCTCAGTCCATCCGCCTTCTGGCAACTCGAAACGCTGCGGAGGAAGATGGCGACGGAGCCTACTCCCCCCTCCGCCGACCTGCACCACGACACTGAGGACAGATATCAAAAGATAGAAGGAAGAAGACACCGTTCTATTTTTGAACTATCATCAGACTTCTTCGATTCGTGTCGCATCCTCCGGACTCCCTTCGCATCGCCACTCTCGGTTGCTCAAAAACTCGAAAACCTCTCTGTAAAAAATGAATGCGATATCGTCGTGGACGAGAAGATCGAGAGTGAAGATAAGATATCAGAAATTAACAGCATCGTCACCAATAATACAATGCGAAGATGGTCTTGCAATACTTGCAAAGCTGAATTCGAGTCTCTCATTGACCAGCGCTCTCATTTCAAGTCCGACATTCATAGGCTAAACGTAATTTCTCTCTTTATCAATTATTATTTATAGTTTCTTCCCATATTTCTGTTGAGCTTAATCTGATTGTAATGGAAGCTAACGATTGTACAGTTTTGGGTTTTCCCGGAGTTTTATCTAAAAAGCAATTTTCTTATTGTTGCAGCTATCATAGTTGTAAGAATGCGTGGTTTATATTAGTGGGCAATATTGCAAGTTCTAAAGACGGGATCTTTACTCACGAGAAACTATTTTAAGAAATGAAATGAGTAGTTTCAGATTAAAGTTCTTGTTGAAGTAGAAGTGCTAAAGATGGAATCTTTATTGACGAGCAATTATAATTTTAAAAATTGTTAGAGAAAGTCAAATTAGTTTTGAGGCATTTCCTAGCTGATAAATTGTATTGAATAGTTTCAGTAGTAAGCCACAAATCATAATAAATGAAGTAGCTTTTCAACTTTTGCTCAATTCCCCACTAGCAGCTGCAAACTATTGTTGTAAACTTTTATAACATCATATAGTATGACAATGTAAGAATTTGTTTGGAAGAACAAACTATCTAATACAGACTACAAACAAGGCTAGTTCAAAGAGGTTTTTGTGATGTTAAAAAAGCTTTCTTTGTCCAAGTGTTAGTGAGAATTCAATTTTGTAAAGTGGGATAACAGGCAGTCAGTAATTCGCAAGTTGCTATTGATATCAGATAAAACTAAGTATTGCGGGAAAAGACACGATAAGGGAAGAGGATTTTGATGATGGAACCCAAGATTCTTTATGCAAAGATTTCGACGTGTCAAGTATATCAGCATCCGATGATGATGAAGAAAGAGAAACAGTTGTCAGAAATGACATTTGTTGTGGATTGGGCGGCAATGTTAAAAATAAACTGTTCATACTATTGCAGACTGGAGAGATAGTTTCTCTGTGGAAACCTTTACTTATGAAGGAGTCAGTTCCCATTTTATTTGAGAATGATAAACCATTTGCGACAAATGCCAACGATGCCAAAATCTCACAGTACTTGAAGGAAAGGGAAGTTAGTGAAAGGCTCAAGTATTTAATCCATAAATCAAGAGATAATACTCCGTTAAGGGTTGTTTTGCTTGCAAGAGGTGGGCACTTTGCAGGTTGTGTCTTTGACGGCAATTCTGTTGTGGCTCATAAAACATTTCACAGGTTAGATATTTTCCTTTGATTAGCTTCTCTTTTGTTAGAGCTTATATATGACATGTTTGAACCAAAATTATATTCAATGGTTCCTCTAGTTTTTCAAGTAGTCATGGAAAACATTGCCAACAGAAAAAAAATGCCGAATTCTATCAAAAGTTTATTTCATTTACTTAGTTATTCTAGAGTGTGTTCTGTTACTTCTGTACTTCGGGTCAGTTTGTCTAATTAGACATTTTAAAATGGAAAACATAATCTATTTACTCAGTTCACTAAATATCTTATTCTATGTTCAATTTAATCTGCTTTCAAATCAAGATTACAGTGCCACTACTTCTTTTAAGTTACTTATAATTCATAAAGGGTTCCAGAGTAGTATATGTAACTTTTTTGTCTTTTGATTCATTTTCACTGGACTTGGTCATCGTATGAAAATTGTGAAGTTATTTTATTCAGTGATCACTTTAAAACTTGTCACAAGTGGGTATAATATCACCTCCATATTGGGGGGAATCCATAATATTTGTTTTGACTTGCATCCACAGTATTACCCAATAAAACCAGTATGTATATGATCCTTCCTTTATCTATAGGTATGTTATTCGAGCTAAAGCTGGTAAAAAGCAATCATCAAAGGATGGGAGTGGGAAGATTGCACACTCTGCTGGAGCATCACTTCGTCGTCATAATGAACTTGCACTCAAAAGGGTACCATAAATTTCAATCAATAAAACAATTTGTTATCCTTTTCTTCTTATTTTGATAATCAACATTCAAATTTTGTTCATTACCAGGAAATTCAAGAATTGCTGGCTGCGTGGAAGCCTTATTTTACTAATTCATCTTGTGTTTTTGTACATGCCCCCTCAAACAATCGCCAACTGTTCTTTGATGGGAACATACCATATTTTTCCTGTCAGCAGACTGCCATTAGGAATGTTCCTTTGACAGTTCGGAGGCCTACCTTGAAGGAGGCTCGAAGAATATATAACTTATTGACTCAAATTTCCTTTGAGGTTAATGAAGAAGCTTCCCTTAACATAGAAGTGGGCTCATCGCTAAGTCAAAACACTTGTAATAGTGGCTTTGCTGAGGTGATAAAAGAAGCAGGACAAAATTCTGAGAGTAAGGAAATTACTGATCAATGTATCAATGGAGGTCCCAGTATATCAAGTGAGAGTGGAGGTGAAAGTGAAAATGAGATCAACGGGGTTACTACATCTTTACATGAAGCAGCTAAGTCTGGCAATGTTAAAGAGGTTTTGGACCTTCTAGAACAGGGTATGGATCCATGCATTAAGAACGAGAGAGGCCGAACTCCATATATGCTTGCGACTGAGAAAGAAGTGAGAAACACTTTTAGACGGTTTATGGCATCAAACCCTGATAAGTGGGACTGGGGTGCTGCAAAGGTGCCTTGTGCATTGACAATAGAAATGGAAGAATCTCAAGCAGCTAAACAGGTATTGTAGATTTTATATTGCATTTCCATTTCTCATGGCAGCAGTTCCAGGATGTAGCTCTAGAAGTCTTTGATATAAAAGCAAGGGGATACCTAGTTTTAAGGATGGATAGTCAATAGTCCATACAACAACAACATCCAAGCCTTAGTCCCAAAAGATTAATAGTCAATAGTCCATCTGTTCCTAAAAAGTCTTGTTTTCAATAAAGTTTGTAGCATTTGAGACTAGATTGTTTTTAGACGGGGTAGTATCATAATAAATGGTTTATTACTTATTCTCCCAAATGATGTCAGATTGCTCTGTCATCTGTGCATTAACTTTTCAAAAAACTGCTCCTTTTACATTACCTCCGTTATTATTTAGTTTCAACTTTTTTATTTTCACGTTTTTCAATATACAACTTTCACCATTAATAAATTTTATTGGCTGTTAATAAATACTCCCTCCGTCCCAATTTGTAAGATACTTTACTGTTTACGATGTTTGACCAACAATAAAGCAAATTGATTCCTGTCAACACTCAAATTAGTTTTAGAAAATAAAATTTACATATTCAGAAACTACATCAAAACCGCTACAAAATCTGCAAAAAATAATTCAAATTTCATAAACTTTTGGTATATAAAATAAAAGATTAAGAGTGATTTATGTTGACTAAGTGAATAGTAAATGTATCTTACAATTTGGGACTGAGGGAGTAATACGTAGTATATAAATCAATATTTTAAAAGTTTACATTGGGTAAAAACCCACTTTTTTTCCATAATATGATCTTTTAATCGTTTGATAAATAAAATGTGGTAAACGTAGAGTGTGTGATTAGTGCAAAATCAAATCGCTGCAACTTGCAACTAATAAGGTGTGGAGGTAGTATCTACTCTCACTGTGCATGAAGTTTTACTTTTTGTGCTCTTATGATTTAAAAACCTTGTGCATGCAGTTGTACAAGAACTTTTGAATTTTAATACATTATATTGTTTACATTTCGTAGGCAGAGAAAGATGCCAAGAAAAAAGCAAGGGCAAAAGAGCTTAAGAAATTGCGTAAAGCAAGACAAAAGAAGGCACAGGTTGGAGTTCTCTTTTCTAACTTCTCACTCTCAGCACTGGTTTATAATCTTAAAATAGCTGCTAGCTAGTATGCTTTCAAGATATAGAATTGATATGTGTGATTGTGTGGAATGTCTGCGAACTGCCATCAATCTACAGGCTGAGGCTAATGAATCAAATATTGCTTCAATCAAGTCAGAAGGTCAACGGCTTGGTTCCATCTCTACTCCTGGTGGAGCATCTCGATCTAGTGTCTCAACAAAGCTGTCTAAAGAGGTTAGTGATTGTTGAGTATCCTACATCAGTTTCACATTGAGCTTGATTCTTCCTATCAATGCTTGATAAACGATACCCCTTGTGATTCCTTTTGAGGTATGTAAGACCCAATTTAACATGGCGGTTCGAGGCAGTTTGTTTGAGGATAGGTTTGGGATCACTTGCTCACCCCTTCAGCTGCCCAACCTGTTTGAGCTGTTTGCCCATCCATTTTGCTTGTTTGGGTGTTGGTTAGGGTGAAAGGGATGTGTTGAGTATCCCACATTGGCTGTCTACTCGGTTTGAGCAAAGTAGATACATGATTAGTAAGCTTCATTTTTTGAGGAAATTTTCAGGAATAAGTCACGCATGTGTTATCAGAAAATCCACTTACTCAAATGCCATGAGTTTGGCATAAACTCACAATTGGAGATGTGTGTGTCGCACGCTCTTATTATCTCTTTCTCATTTTTTTGCTCGCCTATGTAATATTGTTATGATTATGATGATTATGATTAGGAGGAACTAAAAAGGGCTCAAGATGCTGAAAGAGAAAAGAGAGCAGCTGCAGCTGAGAGAAGAATGGCAGCAGCGGGTGTGGTTGATCTTAGATCTTGCAACACATCTGGAGCTGACATCTTTTGTTCTTGCTGCAATGTTTCACTAACGGGTAAAGTTCCTTTTCATTGGTATAACTACAAATACTGCAGCACATCGTGCATGCATGTACACAGAGAGATCCTTGAAGATGGCTGACTGTTATCTCTGCTCTTCTTCTTAATCTTCTCTCAATACAACATCTTGTCTGTTTATAGAAGAATTTTTGGCATTTTCTTTTGTTCTGGAGATCCATTCCTCATCATTGTATCATAGATCACTTTGCTTTTGTAATTAGGCATTATTATGGTACATCCAATGTATAGAATCCACATGCCAATATGGAATTCAGGGGTTTGTCTTAATTTTTTTTAATTGTGTCTGGATGTTCTTCAGTCGATGCAAAGGAGAATTACCAGAAAGACCTCTAAATTATGTCACAGGATAGAGAGGAATGATGAGAAATAATTGACAAATAAAAAAGTAGACATAAATATGATTTTTAATACACATTGACCATTGTAGTACTTCCAATGTGACTATGATGCCCATGATGACGTTTCATTATATACTTGAGTAATAAAAAACCAAAGCCTGGTTCATTTACATTTTACATCATAATATGATAAAAACTATGTAATGGTTAATCAACTCAATCAATATATGATATGATAAATGGAGTGTTTGCGATTGCTTCTACTTTAGAAAAGTGATTTTTAAAGTGATTTTGGAGAAAGTATTTAATAGTAAAAGTTGGTAGTGTTTGAAAATAAAGTAATTTTGAAAAAGTAAAAGTTGATTGTGTTTAGTAAAAGAAGTGCTTTTTGTGTAATATAAAAAGTGAAAAGCAGTTTGAAGCACCTTTCTAGCTTGTGCTCTTAAGTGATTAATTTAAACAAAGACTATCATTTAAAATCATTCTTTTCAGGCTTTCAGCATTTTTAAGCCAAAAGTCTAAAAACACTTTTTTAAAGCCGTAGCCATCACTCCCAAAATATCACTAGGAATGGGCTTCGCCGTTTCTCTTGATTAAGTGTTAGTCATGTTTCCACTCAATACATCTAATGATAATATTCCGTCCGTGTTAATATATTCTCATCACTTAACCTTTTGATCATTTACTTGAATACTCCGTATATGATATGGGGTAAGTTTTTCATTTAAAAATAATTCATCATCTTGTTCATACTTTTCTATCATTTTGTCTATATTTTTTCTACACTATTCATACTTATACGGAGTATTATTATTTTTAAACTTTGTGCATAAGGCTAACGTTATAAACATCAAGAAATCGCTGCTATACAAAAAGTCACGTTAACAACAATCCTTGTTGTTTTGCATATTGTTTCCTTGATTTGACATAAAACAACGATATATTTAGAAAGTCAAAATAAAAACTTACTTCCTCCTTCCCACAAATTTCTTTCCGGTTTGACTGGGATCGAAATTTAAGAAAGTAGAATAAAACGGAAATGTAAAATGGAAATGTATGGTTGTGGTTGAATAAAAAAAGTAAATGAACGGTAATAACACAAAATTTTCCAAAAAGAGAAATAAGAATAATTTTTTGGGACGTCCCAGAAAGGTAAATGTGAGGAATTCTGAGGGACGGATGGAGTATCTTTCATAAAAACACGTGTAGGTGAAAGTGAGATACTCTTTTCTAAACGTTCAATTTGATATGCATAAAGAAGAACAAAAATGGTTAATTTGATGATTTTGATCATTTGATGTACTCTACGTACAAATCTGGGCCTTTATTAAAAAGATTGAGCATCTTTTAAATTTGACAAGATGTCATGAGTATTCAAAATTGGTTGTCATATTGTACAAGTAATATGCATATGATATATTATACGAAGAAATTGGATCTATATTGTACATGTGTATCACTAATATATTGAAAAATACGAGTAACGTTTTGACATGTAACTATATACTCCCTCCGTCCCTATTTTATCTCCCATTTCGGCTGAGCACACTTATTAAGATAGTGAGTTTTGTGTGGTGGAGAGTTGTGCAGAGGAGAGAGAAATGTGTAAGAATGTGTAAGAATGATTGTGAACCACAAATTCTTTGTCAAAAAGGGAAGGAGGAGATAATTTTGGGACGGACGAAAAAGGAAAGTTTGAAGATAATTCAGGGACGGAGGGAGTACATACTAATTTCGATATGTAGGACACGATTGAAACATAGCGTAGTTTTAATGTAAACATGCAAAGTAAAAACGAATGCACCTTACTCTAGCCAAAGGGCTACATAATTTCACATTCTTTATAACTAAAAATGAATGCACCATCTCCCACATAGTGCAAATTAGTTTTGTTTATGAAAAGGCTATTGTCTCAAAATAAAGAATGGGAGAGTACTGACCTTCATTGGCTTTTATAGAAACCCACAAATGAATATAGAGAAAGTTAGGTTTACCTGCAAGGGTAGCTCAGTTGGTCGAGTGACGGGAGATTTGGATCAATGGACCAAGGTTCGAATCCCCGCAACGACCGGGTGGAGGTCACAGAACCTGAAATAAGACTGAACCTCTGTTGCGCATCGATGTATGGATCAATTTGGATCAAGGGAAAGCTAGGTCCTATGATTCAAATCAAAGCCTGCTATGGAAATCGATTGAAATGCCATTAATTTACACTCCAGGAGATTTAATAATGGCTTTGTACGTTTCCTCTAATCACTTTAAATACCTTACAGAATTTGCATTTTCGTCTTTAATTTACACTACAGATTGCTCAATCGGCAGCTGCGATCAAGAAAGCCCCGGCCGGTAGTTAGGGCATCTCTGGATTCCGCGCCATATCTATGAGTCAGTTGCTGAATGACATCGGAAGATGATGAAGGCAGACGAAAACCCGACGAGTCCATTGGCGTTAACCTCGAAGCTCGACCCGAAATCGGACCCTCCTTTGAAAGACCACCCGTCTTCACCGAACCCCGTCATCAACGGCTCCCGTCTCCGGTCCAGTAAACTCAACAAATGCAGTGAGCGTTCTCCGCCTCGCAGGAACCCTCAAACTGCCGAGGAATTCGTACTCTCTGTCGCCTCCAAGTACGCGTCTCAGCCTCTTCAGAACTCCGATCCTGACGTTTGGGGTGTACTCACAGCCATTTCGGATAAGGCTCGCAAGCGTAACCAGGTTGGTGAATTCAATCTGATTTTCTTTTTTCATTTGGTATTGTTGAAGGTTTATGGGAGTTCTCTAGCCGAGTTTCTCTAATCTACTTATGTCATTGTAAAAGTGATGTTCATCCTGTTACCTAAATTGGCATCGCCACGGACCTTTATCAAGAAAGTTCTCAAGATTCTTGACTGTCTAGTAGTGCTTTGGTTTTTATAGTACACATTGATAGTTTATCACTTGGCCTTTGTACTTTCCGTTCAGGGAATAAATATACTTTTGACATCTAGAGAACACTGCATTGGCCGTTTGGTAGGAGATGCTCGTTTCCAAGTTTTATCCCCAGCTGTTAGTGCCACACATTGCAAGATCTATAGAAAGACAGTCGCTAATGAAGACTCAGAGCATGGGACTTCTGTTTTTCTGAAAGATACTAGGTTGGATAATTTTTCTGCATGTCTGAAATCTATCTTGTAAAGTCCAATTTTTTAATCTCTGGACTTGTGCAGCACAAATGGGACGTACCTCAACTGGTTAAAATTGAATAAAGGTTTCCCTGATGCTATACTTCGGCATGGAGACATCATATCCATTGCATTTGCTCCACATCATGGTAAATGAATGCTAGTCATTGTAGAAGATGTACTTGCTTGTTCTAATCTTAAGAATGAAATACAAGTGATTTGCGTGCTTCTTATTTCCTTGTGGCCAAAATTGGGTCATTGTTAGCTCAATAGTAGTATTCTTGAGGCAGAGTATCTCTTAGTCATTCAGCTATGGTCCTTTAGAACTCGTGACCTGCTTCCAGATTCTAGATTTCTAGGTCTAGGTTTAGGTGAAATATGAAGTGCACACTAAATTGCTAAAAATGTGCATTCTTTGTTGTTGTTGATGTCTTGTTTCATACATCTATTTATCAACCTCTACAACTGTCAACTTTTGATAGTCCAAGCTCTTGTGATCTTTTTTCAGTGTCGTGTGCATGGAGATTCTACTTTGTGTTTTTAACTGAGTACTTCTGTACTTGTATTAGCTATCCTTCTGTTTATATAGTTCCTTGGATGTAGTTTAAAAAACATTTTCTTATCGTCTATGAATTCTTGAGGTTTTTTTTATATTTACAAAGTATTATATCTTTACTCCATATATCTATATGTAGTATCACTGGAGAAGTTTAATTTAAACTTCTCCTTACATGGTGACAGAACTTGCATTTGCCTTTGTATTTCGAGAAGTTTTCAAGACTAATTCATCAACCGATGCTGCAGCTCTTAAGAGAAAAGCAGGTATTTTTTATCTTCATTTTGCTGGGTGCTTATGCCATTTTTTTGCTGGTAAAGAGTGATATCTTGGATCCTTTACCACGAGAAATAGATGTATGTAGCACTTGTATTCTTGCTATGTAGTAGATATTTGCTATTGACTCTTATGTGCTTATGTGCTCCCTGTGAAGATGAATTTGGCTGTGACAACAAGAGACTTAAGGGAATAGGCATCGGTACTCCTGAAGGTCCAATTTCTCTGGATGATTTCCGTAGCCTTCAACGGTCAAACACGGTACACGATTACAAATATTTTGGTTGCAATCTCTGATGCTTACCAAGTACATTTCTTTTATTCTGTACAACAGTATTATAACTTATGCCGATTTTTTTTAGGAATTGAGGAAACAACTAGAGGATCAAGTTGAAAGAATTGAGGCTTTGCGCAATGAAAATCGTGCAACTGTTGAGAACCACGAGAGTGTATGCTATACTTGTTAATATTGCCATTTATTTTCATGGATACCACAATTGAAGTTGTCTCTCCTTTGTATGCCTGAGTTTTACCCTTATTCTTCTGCAGGAAATGAAAGATTTGAGAGATTCTGTTTCAAAATCCTACCTTGATCAGATAAAAGATTTGAACCGATTATTGCAGGCTAAGGATAAAGAATTTCTTGATTCTAGTAGGATATCTGCTGAGCAAAAACATAGGCTGCAAGATCTTAATGAAAGACTTAGTGCATCTGAGCAATCATGCATTGAGGCCAACGAAATAATAAATAGGTACAAATTTATTTTGTTTAGTTTTCTTAAATGAAATGGAAAAACCCACATATTTGTATTGAGAGATGCTTGTCTTAATTGTATGCCTGTATTTTCATAACTTCTGTAGCCAAAAAGCATCTATTTTAGAACTGAAGGCCTTACTAGATGAGGAACGTGATCAGAGAAAAGAAGAAAGAGAAAAGGCTGCATTAGACCTGAAGGCTTCTATACAGAGAGTTCAGGTTGAAGCACAGGAGGAAATCAAAAGATATTCCGATGCTGCCTTGCGACGTGAAAAAGAGCAGCAAGAAATGATTAACAAACTACAGGTCAAATTGAATAAATTTGTCATGGGTTCTTGTTTTTAAAAATTTCTGCATGTTGTTTTTTTGGCCACAAAGGTTCACACATTAGTTATGTATAAATCCAGGAATCAGAGAAAGAGAGGTGCTCGCTCGTGGAAGCATTGAGACTAAAATTGGTATGTAGTAGTCTAGTGTATACGTGAGCTTACTCTTCAAATGTGCATTATGAAGTAGTGTTATATTTTGTTGAAATTGTCATGTTATCTTTCTTTCCTTGTTACAGGAAGAAACCAGACAGAAACTTGTAAGTTCAGACAATAAAGCTCGCCAGCTTGAGGCGCAAATTCATGAGGAGCAATTTGCTTCCTTCACCAACAGAAAAGTAGGTTTAGAGCATGAAAGAACTTGTAAGAAAATCATGCTTTTATTCTGCTTGATTTCACCAGATACTGATAAGGATATTGTGTGCTTTTTTCAGAGAATGGATGAACTGGAGCATGAAGCAGAGATTTTGAGGAAAGAGCTTGAGAGAGAAAAGGTAGGTTGAGATGTTCTAATATCACATCATTCTGCAGTTTCTCCCTCAAGTATATCCTCATCTTTTATATGATCAACTAGCCACCCCCCCACAAAAAAGAACATGAACAATGAACCCAAGAAATGTGAAGCAAATCTGAAAACTCCACTTCTGTAAAACACTGATAAATATCTAAGTATGCCACTTTGGTTGGTTTTCAAAAGTTGAGACTGTGTTGTTGTTGGTAGCAGGCTGCTCGAGAAGAAGCATGGGCAAAAGTTTCAGTTCTTGAACTGGAGATCAATTCTGCTATTAGAAACCTAGATTTTGAGAGACGCAGATTGAAAGCTGCCCGAGAAAGAATCATGCTTCGGTAGCTGAGAAATTTCTTCTTTTCATTAAATATCCACGGCATTTGGGATGACACACATTGTTATCCCAAGCCTTTTTTTTTTAATTTTGCATTGACGATGTTTGTGCTATGCTCCTTTACAGAGAGACACAGCTTCGGGCTTTCTATTCAACCACAGAGGAGATATCAGTTCTGTTTGGAAAACAGCAGGAACAGTTAAGAGCAATGCAGAGGACATTAGAAGATGAGGAAAATTATGAGAATACGTCGATGGATTTGAACCTCGAACCAATTGAACGCAATGCTAATGCGTCAGTGGTCAGGGAGAGAGGAGTTGGAGAGGATTGCGACAATGGTGGTGCTTCTAAGGTGGGCTCTACCCACCGGAATATTTTTGGAGGAACATCAAGTGATGCAAGCTTGACAGAGAAGCATGATTGCACCATCCGAAGCCAGCCTGAAGATGATGAGACCCAGGAGGTAGAGTTCACCAGTGGTGAACAGTGCAAGCAACAGCATGCCGCCTTTGGTTCTGATATCGACACGCCTATCATGGAGGGAGATCCAGTTGGAACTGAAAAAGTCCATGAATCAGGTGATCATCTCAACCACCCCCACCACCACCTTTTAGGATCCGAAACAGTGGTTGCGACGGGAAGCCAAACAAGTAACATGAATATGGATTTAAACACCTTTGATCGCGGGGAGGAGGATACGTTGAATCTGGAGGCCAATAAGAATATTGAACCAGAGAAGAATCCCGTAGCAGTTCAGAATGGTGGAGATGAAGTGGGAGAAGAGACTATACGAGCAGCTTGTCTCTTGGTAGAAGTTGCTGGGAGCTGGGCATGCAGTACTGCCCCATCTGTTCATGAAGAGAATAATGATTCTCAGAGGAGTAGGAGTAGAGCTATTAAGGATAGCATTTCACACGTGGCAGAGAGTCAATCCTCCAAGGCAAATTCTGCTTCTACAAATAGTAGACGGGATCACGAGCATAAAGCACTGAGTGAGTTGATTGGGATTTTGGCTCCGGATCTGAAGGAGCAGTTCGGTTACAGTGAGGATGAAAGTGACGACGGGATTGCTTCTAATTCTGAAACGCAAAGTTGCACAGGCAATGATGATGATGATGTGGCGGATACTGAAGTTGGGTCAGATGCTGCAATGAATGATAATGATGATGATGATACTCAGGAAGGTTCCATAGGATAACAAGGAAAGTAATGATGCATGTAAATAGGTAGAGGTGGTTTTGAATTCATGTCTTCTATTCTTTCTCCTTATAAATCTCGTCTTGCACTGATCATTGTGGAACTGGCATCATTTTATTTTTTAAGGGAATTGGTAAGATCAAAGCTTGTCAATTTTAATACTCAAATGGTCTCCACCCCACCCTCTATACTTACTCGTGTCTGTGTAGTACGATAATGATACATCCATCAAGACAAATAACCGTTTCTTTATAAACAAATTAGCATCAAACACTAGATGTAAAATGGAAAAAGAGTATCCATGGAAAGAAAAATGAGTAGTGATAACGGAATTTACGAAATTGTCATAGAATATACGAATTAATCTTGCGGTTGATATGGATCAGTTTGTCCTTTAGCTCACCTTCTTGTTACTTGGTCTGGTTATTTAGTTAATAACATTTACATTCCTTAAAAGTGTGTGGTGTAAATGCAAATTGACGTGTTTGATATAAGCTTGAAAGTGTGTTAAAGCAGGAGATATAGATATCATGGATGACATTTATTGTTCAATGAATAGACAACTAAGATGGAATTCCATACAAGTAAGGATGACCTACCGAGCTAAGGCCCTCTTCCCCAAATGACTCGAGTTTATGCCGGGGGCGGACGGACGATGGATTATAATTGGTGAATTTTGCACTATTCACAAACTCTACATTGACGGGCGTAGTATTTATTAATTTATTATAAATTAAATTTTGGAAAAACATTATTAAATTGCTCTCATTTTAAATTCTCATATTCTGAATTTTTATATTCTTTACTAATAGGGAATTAAAGATATTAATAGTCAAACTTGCGCTTTAATAAACCTGAAAAAATATAATATTATTCCATATTCTACACACCTTACCTTTCAATTAATTAATTAACTCGACCTTCACAAGCAATTGTGTTTCTACTATTAAAATTATACCAAGTAATATTGTGTGTTTAAGTATAATAATTGATTATTAGGATCATTAAATGTGACATTTACTGATTGTGAAATACAACCTATGTTTGTACCTATCAGTTATTTGTCATGTAGCAATACTATCTGATTACTCGCAAATCATATATGGTAACTTATAAGTTTGCATACATTGAAACCTTTGTCATCGTATCATTAATCTCTAATAACAAAAATCTCAATTTTTTTGGCATCGGTGATACTAAGTGAGTAGAGCTAAATGTGATCTCTGTAATGTGTTATAGTTCTTATTATCCTGCCAATTTTGATAGTTGTGTTATAGGCGTTTTTTGCTCAAATCAGGCACTCTTGCGGGATGCTATTCTGTTTTTTTAATTGCTATTGAAGACAATACTCTTTCAATCATAGATCTGCCTTTTTAAGAGGCCGTGTTTCTTCATCGTCTATCACACTATCGATGACTCGCCCCCTACTGAATCACCACCATTGATTGGAAGGGTGACTCTTTCAGATTATATTGGCGCATTTCAAATTGGAATAAAAGTCAATGATATTCTATTAGGCGCGACATATCTACAGGTATGGTGGAATCAGGAGAGGGCGCTACGGCTACATGATTAGACACTGATTTTTACTTTCAACCGTATTTACAATTTCGCTCAGTTATGCACTTTTTATTATTGGTTGTTCATTCATTTTGAATTTCCTAGAGATATTGTAGGTTTTCTGTATCAAGTTAGAAGTTTAGAGATCAACATGTCAAATTAAGCTTCCGTTTGTCGTTTACATGGTTGGCGACTTTTGCTGCTTATTTGTGGGTAGCAAAGTCCAAGTCTAATCATTGGGCTTCTTACTGAGATTGGCATTACTTTGAGTCTATAATAAGAGTGAATCCTCAAATAGGAGAAAAACACAGACTAAATGCAATAATAGGACTTATTGTTTTAAAATTCCCCAAATAAGAGTAATTATTTGTGTTTGGACTAAAATACTCCTGCAGTTCCTCAAGCCCCCAACCACCTGCCACAGCCCTGCCGCCTGGTGTCTGCCACCGCCTCCGCCGTCCCAGCTATTGGCGCCGCCTGTTGCTGGAATCCGTCAAAAATTTCATAATGAATCTGTCACCATTCTGACGCCGCCACCGGTCACCAGAGTTCTGCCGCTGCCGCTGCCACCACGGACTTAATTACCCGCCATCAACGGACTGACCCGATTATGCAAGGGAACTAGGGGGCAGGTAATTCCATCATTATCATTATTATCATTACCCCAGTGTCGCAAAGGCTCCAACCTACGATGGGGTAGGGGGGGGGTCAGATGTACGCAACCTTCCTATATTAAAGCACAGAGAGACTGTTTCCAGATGACACATAGTGAAAATTGCGTCGAAAATTGCATGGACCAACTGGTGCTTCATAACAAATTAGTGCAAACAGTTTAGTGAGACATTTTTCTTTATTCCATCATATTCCCAAGTCAAAAAATAGTGAGCCTTTGGCTCTATTGCAAATGATGGAAATATGGGACAAGTAATTATATTAATGAATTAAATTAGGGGTATGAAGGGTATAAAATCAATGTTTAGTCCTATTTAGGAAAGATTTTGATTAGAGTCCTACTTGTGCAATTATGTTTAGATTTAGCACAATTTTTCATGTAACAATTATTGACATAATATATTAAATTAAGGATGCTTTTACTTTGATTGATTTCATTCCGAAAGCAGAGCATGTTAGACTAGACTTAAACAAACAGACAAAGTTAGCACTAAACAGACTAGACTTTGACAGTTATAAAAAAATACATAGATGAGACATCTACTAGATCAGGCTAGTTTAGACCAGATCAGACAAGACTAGACTCAAACAAATCATGTAAGACTTAACCAGATCATACTAAACCAGGTTACACTTAATATAATTCTATCTAACTAGTGTTACAACAACGCCACAGTGACCAATGCCTTAGTAACCAATCGATCCGGCAATCTCAGTGACCAATCTGGCAGTGACTACAGTGCTTAGTGACATGTCCCTGCCGCCGACAATGATTAGTCCCAGCCACCGCCAGTGACTCATCCCAGCCGCTGCCAGTACCAGTCCCCCTCCGCCGCCAATGACTAGTCCCCCGCCGACGCGAATGACCAATCTCGCGCCGTCTGATCCTTGCCACTACCGATGACCAATCCCACAACGTTGCTCGTGACAAGTCCCCCGCCGCCAGTGATTAGCACCCCCGCTGCCAGTGATAAGTCCTCCGCCGCTGCTAGTGATTCGTCCCCGCCCAGTTACAAACCACCCAAACACCTTCCTGCATCCCCTTCTCCAACTGCACCCGCTCCCCTAGCCTTGACCTAACTCTGCACAATTTCTGACTAGCCCTAGCCCTAGCCGCCACAACCACTTCTCGACCAACCCTAGCAGTCCTAGCTACCGCCGCTTCCCCTAGCTCTGTTGCAGTTCTTGATAACCACAGACCTAGTTGCAGCCACATATCTTAAACCTAACCGCTCAACGCCACTAATTATTACTTCGTTTTTTATATTTTAATTATCATTTACTTTGAATGGATGATGTCAATTTTTTAAGGAGTATTACTCCATTTAAGGAGTATTACGTAGTAAACTTTAATGGATGATGTCGATTTTTTATATTTTAATTTTCTTTTATTTTGAATATTTGTTGTATGAATTTATGTTTTTTTATATTCACTTATCATACCCTATTTTTGAAATGATTTAAATTGTAAGAAAAAATATCTATTTTTATATTTAATTAGATCGTGAATAAAAATATATGTAGGCCAACCGTTTTTTCCCATGCGTATGTACAAGTGCTGTGCTAGTTCTTTCAAGAAAAAATGCACCTCGTTTAAGAAAAAATCAACTCAATTAGAAAAAAGGTGAAAAAGTATCAAATGACCTAGGACAACATGTCTGGGATTCTGGGACATTTCTCGGCGTTTTGGTAAATTATTAGAAAAATTCTAAAGGTACACACTTTTTTTGTGTACACACTCTTTACACATGTCTGTGTAAAGTTTTTTTATATCTTTACAGACATAAAAAAAACCTTACACGGACATGTGTAAAAAGTGTGTACACAAAAAGTATGTACCCCAAGTCCAACTCAAATTATTATGGTAGATTCTATGTTGGTTTTTGGGTCATACGTTTATAGTAAGAAATTTCCCCCTTATTTCATTGCCTAGTCCCGTTGTTTAGGAAAATATAAATATTTCCCCAAATTAAACCACCTTAATTCATAATTACTTTTAAGGGTTAATTATCAAAATAGGACTAAAAATCATCCACTTTGCACAAATAGAACCAAAAAATAAACTATGTATTCATAGGACTAATTATGTGTGTCTTAGACAAATATACCCTTATAGTTATTGAAATGTTTTAATTCATAATAAAATAATAAAAAATAATAAAAATTCGTAAAAATACTAAAAAATTAATAAAAATATTTCGATAATAATAATTTATTTATTTATTTATTTTCAAAAAATAAAAAAAATAAAAAAATTAGAAAAATAAAAAACTCAAAAAAATAAAATAAAATTCATCGCCGCCTCTGCACCACCACCTTCAGTCACTAAGGAAAAAAAATGTCAAGTTCATTACGAATGCCATATTTATGGCAGAAAAAATGAAAATGTTGGCATTCCCAAAGAGAAAAATGTCATGTTTTTGGCATTTTCAGAAAAAATGGCAGTTTTTAGGAAAATGACATTTTTTCACCGGCCGGATATGGTCGTGCAGGTAGGTAGTACAGGCGGTGGGAAAGGCATCCATATTTTTTTTTAAATTTTTTTTTTATTGATTTTTACTATTTTTTATTAATTTAAAAAAAATAAAAAATTGAAAAAAATTATTTTTTAATTTTTTATTTTTTAAATATTTTATAATTTTTTAATTATTTTTCTACGAATTTTTGATTTTTTTCCGAATTGATTATAAATTATACATTTAATTAACTCATATTTAAAAGAAGGGTAAGAATGGAATGAAAAAATAGGTATGTTTCTAATAGGACTAATATGGTCCTATTTTGAAAATAGAAACATAGTAAGTCCTATTTTAAGTTTTTGCCATAATTTTAAGGGAAATTTCCTAACATATGACTAAAACTCAATGAGTTTCCCAATCTATGACCTAACTAGTTTTTGGACTTTTGTATGACTAAAAATACATAAAAAAAAATAAAAATTCATTTAT